GAAATGTAAGAAATACAAATGTACTTAACCTGGTTTTGACTTGTGTGTTGTGGTAAGTTACTCAAATTATTGAGTAACTTATTATCGCTGACATTTCCCCTAGTGTCATTTTCTAGGATTCTCTAAGTATCCAATCCTTTGACTCGGGTAAAAAAAAGTTCTTTGAGTTTCAACTGCCAGATTTGCCAGAACATAATTTATTGTTTTGACATTTTATTGCAAAGTGTGCAGGACGGATATCTATCAGTCACTGTTCCTGTGTGACATAAAAGAGACTGGTGCAGTCTTTATTAAACATAATGTGAAATAAAATCTCTGTATATGTGAACAACTTATTTAGTTAGTTCCCTGACTGAAGCAGGAAGTCGACAGAAACCCTACAGAGACCACCCCCAGCTCACCCCACCCAGACCCCCTTTGATTGGCCTTGCATAAGCTGGCACAGGGCGGCTCTCTGTGACTCCAGTACAAATGTTTATGACGGAAACAGCACTCATATCTGAGAGCATCTGTGAGATTGTTCTGGGAATCGGTCATATTCTCAGCAAAAGGAATGATACGGTTTTGAGTGTATACACCCAAAACAATCATCTTTACTTGGGTACTATTTGCTAAATACATATTACTTATAAGATACTTTTTGTCCATTCATTTGCAACTTGTCTTGTTAAGTGACCTGCAATAAGGAATCAATTATTTCCAATTATTTTAGAAAAAGTATTTTTTGTCTGTATTGAAGTAAAACACGTACTTGAGTAAAGACATGCAGTACTGTAACTATTAGTTGGTGGGTTGCCCTACTATAATAATGATACTATTGACCCCTATTATGGTCCTTTGGTGGATGCTTCTGTGGGAACCAGGCTGTGCCTGGAGTATTGTAAGGAGTGGTCTCTTATGACCTCACTGAGATGAGAACTACCTTCAGTGGGATCCATCTAGACTGGGACGCTCAGTTTCCTCTTTCTGTTCTGTGCCAGAGTGCACCCTGCTCTGTCACTTGTGTGAGAACAGTTTCATCACAGCTCGCGGTTTCTTAGCCCCTGGCCCCTCTGTTTGTCAGTCAATTTGTGGGAACCCCGATGTTGGACAACAGCCTCTGTTCCCACCACTGGCCTGGATAGAAAATAGATTTTGTCCATGTATCAGCCATCGAAGCCAAACCAATCAGAGGCTGTTCCTTCTCATGGGTTCAAGGGGTCGAGGCCCTAATGGTTTTGATTGCAGGTGCCAAACAATGAGGAACAGATTTTCATCACCATAAATAATAATCGAATATGCGTCTCAGGCTGAAGAAGTAAATGTACTATCAGTAATGGACCATGAACATAAAACAGATGGTATTGTGAAATACTGGTTTCCTTACATGTGGTTTAATTGTTTCGGGTGACACGGGCACCAAAATATATACAGACTGTATATTGAAGATGTTGTTAATGGGGAAAGGCTTTTTCCAATTATATATTACGCATTTTCTGTCTCCTAAAGTATTCTAAATTAAATGAGAAAAAGAGGATTATGAAAACGCTGCAGATCTCGGGTACAGTCATGTCAAGGATGGAGCCAGATGGGGGTCTCTGTGCTGCACATGTGGATGAGAGCGTGGACCCTTGTAGAGTGTGTGAAGACAGCTGGAACGTTCCCCTGAGCCCAGTCTAATTGAAAGCTTATCATCTTTTCCTTTGTGCTTCCTGGACAACAGGACCCAGTGCAAAGCAGAGTAGCTTAGAAGAATCAGTTCAGGAGTTTAGCGCTGTCTACGGTGAGTGGCCACGGCAAGGTTTAACAACAGAAAGCTGTGGGCGAGTGTGCGTGAGAGGAGGGCTTTTTGTGCAGTAGTGAAAATGCTTTGAGTGCCGAGTTAATTGAATACACTGTGTATCAAAGCTTCTAGTGTGTGTTCTAAGTCTTTGTTGTCCTGCCAGCACTGCCCCCATAGAAGGCCTAACATGGACTGGCTGGCACTCTGCGGGCGCCATTCAGAGCTAAAGGAACTGTGCAACAGGGACGGACAATCTCGACCAGTTGTTTAAAAAACAAAAGAGACAACATACAGTTACAGAATGTCAAAAAACATGCTCGTCATGTATTGCATCTCTACAAATATCAGACCACCCCAGTCATGTCTCTTGTGTTTAATTTTGTGGCTCGACTTCAAATGAGCCAAATAGATGCCATCAAAGTTACATAAATTATCAACCGCAGTGCTGGTAAAAATGTCAGTGACATTCCAAAGTTCTCCTGAATTATCTGGAACAAGTGAAGACTCGTTTGAATGTGGGAGCTGCCAACAGTCTGCGGTGGTTCCAAGGCTGGTCTACGCCACTCATGATGTTGGCATTATCAACCACAAGTAATCATCATGTCTCTTCGAAGATATTAGAAGTACAGTCAATCATACTCCTGACTATATTCGCTTAAAGGCACGTCACTTTTCCGATGGGGTCCACTGCCCGCTTGTTGCCATGGGGATTATTGTTTTGATTGTAATATATCTCAGTATTAGGGTTGTACTAAAGCTAGTATCAAAAACAGATTCTCAAGTGACTTGTAATAACATGACATTTGGCATTTCGTTAAACTATATCTGGATAAGTGTTTTTACTTTGAGAGCATTTACAGTTAATTATTGAATTTTATTGAGTTTTTTATAGTAATGAAAATGACAATACTACTTAATACAATACAATTTGATACAGTGCTATCCAGAGAGAGTGCTATCCAGAGAGAGTGCTGAGTGGATAGCACTCTCGTTTCTCAGTAAGAAGGTCCTGGGTTCGAATCCCGGTCGGATCAGGGCCTTTCTGAGTGGAGTTTGCATGTTCTCCCTGTGTCTGCGTAGGTTTCCTCCGGGTGCTCCGGTTTCCCCTACCACTAAAATCATGTACTCGCGACCCCGCTCCCATCTCTGTGTGGAGTGAGAGGACAAATGCCCCAAAAAATAACCGTTGGAAACCGCTTTGTGACTCATCTGTGAAAGGCGGTATATAAATAAATTACTTACTTACAAAAAAATGGAGCCCTGAGAATTTATGAGAAATACAAGACTAATATAACAAATGTATGGAAACACTTCAAGAGCTGTAGTCCTTCTGCTACTTTGACATCTCAAGGTTAACTACAAAAATATTACTACTCATAACTGTATACCGTTAATAAACAAACATTTTGAAATGATGTTAAACTGTTTTTACTGATGCGAAAGAGACAGGCATTGGCATGGGTTTTCTTTATTAAAATGATTGAAAAGTACATAGTCTGCAAACATTACTTAAGCACCCAAGATGGCAAGGCATACATCATATGCATATACATAAAATCATAAATTAACAACCTTTTCTGTAGCTCATGCTTTGAGTATTAATAAAATTAAAATGCAATGGAATATTTGTCTTGCAAAAACATTTGATTTAACTTTTTTTGGTTTAATATACACCATTCAATTTGTACATTTAGACTTCTTGGATGGTAGCACAAGTTGCGTAAAACTCATTTCTCATCTCAGGCAGTTCTAAAGCTCTTTGGTTTCTTTGGAATAACCATACAATATTAATATGGTTTTACTAGCTGCATGATTTTTACCGATAATAAATAAAGCTTAGTTTAAAAAAGGAACAGGAATGAAACATGTACAATAGACAGAAGAATAATACAGGCAGCATCCTTCAATTTGCATTAAAAAGCATTGCAACTTAGTCATAAATAGTACAAAATATACCTGTTGAGTTTCACAAGAATGCTATGAATCGTACCCAGACCCTTTCAAAACTAATGCATAAACAGACCTGGTAAAAAAGCATTGTTCTTATTCTGGGTAATGTGAAAATAACAGCCAGCTCTTATACAATAAAAAGAACATAATGTGTGGAAGATCTTACTTTTAGCAGATCAATGAGCTTGTGGCACTGGCGGCAAGTAAATTAGTCTTGAGAAGACAGAATTAGGAACATAAAGGCTTCAAAGAACTCACTGCTGATTATGTAGAACAAAGGGACTTGGTGAGCGTTTTCTTTAGCGTAACTGCCCTTGGTGTTAGTAAGAAGACACCACTGTGATCCACCTTCTATCCCTTCATCTACAGCGCTTCCAGCAGGGACAGTTGTCTTCTAACTTTAGGCAAACAACCAAAGGACAAGAAAATATCCACATAAATAATATGTGTATTTTCATTCTTTGTTTTGATAAAATGGCAGGAATGCTTTATACATTTATAATGATAACTGGACTCAAATGAAATAGTGCAAACAATGAGCATATGGCCTAAACATTTATAAAAGTTTTTCAAAAGCTCAGAAAACACACAATGTAATACGGCCTATTTGAGGACGGTAGGCAATAGTGCATCAAAGCAAATAGTAATTGTTTTGGCTTTTCATAATCTAGTTTGGATGCCTAAATGTGTAGGTATTTTTTTTGTAAGCATTTCCACAAGGTCTGGCTTAAATAAATATTGGAAAAAAGATTTTACAAAATAAGTAAACCTACAAGCACACAGTGAATTTGTACATTCTTAGAAAAAAACCCTCAATAGATTAGGAATTGAAGCAAAAAAAAAATCAAAAATGGCTTTCAAGACGTCAGTGATGCAGCAGTTTCTTCTGTGTCGCTTGATAAACACAGATGTTTGGATTTACTGAGTAATAAATTAATTGTCCCAAAGGACTATGAGCAACAAACCCTGACAAAACTGACACACATTTTGTTTCAAACAGAAATCGAAACGTAAAGGGACCGTTTGCTACAGCAGTGCAACGTTGGACTTGAACGTCACTCACGTTGCTTTTCCTCAGTTGGGGAGGTAAGTCTTTTGATGTTTTGTCTTTTCTGTTGCCTCCAAAACTGTTTTCTATAAGAAGGCCGTCCAAAAAAGCATTTGTTTTAAATATAAAAGGCAGTTACAAAGTAAGTGCTGGTAAAATAATAGGCAACCATGCAGCATTACTTATGTCCTTCAGTGTTCAGTTTTGCTCAGCACCTTGGGGTTGGACACAAGCTTTCAGTCAGTAAGGCCTCCAGACAGACTCGTCGAGGCGCCCTGATGCGCTCATGGCTGTGGGGGAGTTGCTATGGCTGCCGTCTGCCTCTACTCCTTCACTTTGACTGGTCAGTCCTGGGTTCATCAGGCTGTTGCCCCCTCCAGTGCCCACGGCCCCTGAGCAGGACAGCAGACGAGTGGGAGACCGTTCACCCCCAGTATTTCCTGGTGCCACCATGGAGAACTGATAGGAGCCAGAGCCAGTACCGTAGTAAAGGTACGAGTTGGACTGGAAGTTTTGGGTCTGATTATTTGAGTACGGCGGTGGCAGATAGGTGTGGTAGCGAGAAGAGGCTGGCATGCTTAGGCCACCGATACCCGTACTTGATGTGTTTGTGGAGTAGGGAAAGGCCCCTGGGTAGTGCATACGTGGATCTGAAAAGCGCGGGTCAGTCAGTGGTGACAACGATGGGAAGGTGGTCCTCTGTTGAAAGATATCCGTAGTACCTGTGTGTAAAACAAATACACATTATAATTTTTTCAATGAAGATGGTGATTATCGTGACGTCAGAAGAATTGCCGTGTTAAAACTATCCTCTTACTAAATCCATGGCCTTGCTGCTGTTTATACACTTTCTTAATATACCCTCCTCTTTCAAAAAACACTGTTGTTCATCCGACAACAGTAGTCTACATTAAGTTAGTGATGGGACAAGATCTTCTGAGAAGAAATGGCCACAACATTTTGCACACATGTAACAAATTATCTTCCATGCAGTGATTGTGGTTTCATGTTTACATTTGGCACAAACAAAAAGCAGTTGACTTTGCTGAGCACCATGTAAGCGTTACATCACACAATGTTTTGTACTAGTTTGCCACTGTGAATAATTTGATTTGTTTATTTGGTGACAGTCATGATGTTGTACTATCATGATATCAGCGGATGATTGGTTGACAGGACAAGAATATTGTCCAGCCATTTAATTAAATACCCAGCAGTATCACAGAAAGCTTATATCGGGCTATCACCTGTGGGCTCTATCGTCAATCCACCTAGAATGTGCTGCTCATATCACTGTTGCACCAAGCCTGACAAGGTTCATGATTTTTGCCAATCAGCGTGTGTCCTTCTTAATCCTAATATGCTCACATGACTATAAGTGTAAAATGTGGATTTGGATGGTAGAGAAAGAGAGCTTGTATTTGTGAAATAGCAAGCAGTTGCACGCCATAAGCCTGAGGGGGGAGCATGCCAAACTTGCGTGCCATGGTCTTGTTGAAATGTCTTTTCCGTATGTCTGGAGGACTGGCTCCATTTTCAGCTACCAAAGTCTGTTCTTTTGCAATTTCCATGACCCTGCTGCTTTTTCCCTCTTCCCTCGTCTTTGGAGATGTGGGCGTTATAGAGTACTTAGGTTATGTGGTAGTGGGGGGCTGTTTCTTTTTCCAGAGTCACTAGGCTTGAGGCGTCATATCTTATTTCACCTCAGGAAAATTCAACTTTTCAGTTTATGTCTGATTTGAGGCCAATTGAGTCTTAAGTCTTTTTGTGCTAAATGCAGATCTTCATGGCTGTGGCTACCATAGCCCACCCTACTGCTCACGATCATGATCCAGTTGTGGAAAGCATGTTGGCTAAAATGTTCTGGCTCCTGTTCTCTGTTAGAGGAAACTGAACTAGACATTATCACAACACTTTAATGGGGTTGTGCTATATCAAAGTCTTGGCTTAAAGCCAACTTCTGGCTAAAACACAACAGTGCAGTAGCTCCCTCTTGAGGATGGGGATAAATAATCCCGGAACGTTAAAGAGCAAAGTTATGCAAGCTGCATTTTCTTCCTCCTAATCATTACATACTTCAGTGCTACTCCACCCCTTCACAGGCCTAACCATTGACGCTGTGCTAACAGTCTCTGTAGTCATACCACAGAGGGTCTCCCTGATTGAGTTAAGAACTAATACAGCTCCAACCACACCTGATTTCTATTAGCCTAATCTGAAATGTGCTGAATACATTGACAATAGCATGGCTTGATCCATAAGGCTGGTAGACAACATTTGGGACGCAATGTGAATCATGTAATTTGGAAATGCACCTTTAATAATAAAGGTGTGCATTGTGTGCATCCTTGTAACACAAAGCAGGGTGGAGTCAACAGGTCCACTACTCCACAGTCAAGCGTGTAACCTATGTATGACTGGAGGTTTGCCTGATTTGTTTACAGGAGAAACTGATTTTGGTTGTTAACATAAGGCTGAGTTTGAGGCTGTCTAGTCTGTGTGTGTAATGGAGTGCAGGTTATGTATGTGTATTGTGCTTGTTGGCTTGTGGTGAGGAGCAATAGCAAAATGCAAATCCTGCCTCTCACCTGTGAAATGTTTACTCAGGGTTGATGCAAACTGTGACGGACAGCGCCCAGAGAATGGTGTTTCAAGCAAATAAGTGGAAACAGTGGAATGAGAGAAACCCCAAGCACATCCTAGTTATATGATGCATATGTTGTGTGCATTTATATTATATGCTTTGCGTGATATTCTATGGTATGGCATTTTAGGGGTGACTTGTTAGGCAATGCAGCAAACAACATACGGAGCAAATGAAAACAAATGATGTGCAGGTGTTTATTTAGGAGCTTCGGCTTTCGGCTGCAGCATCATGTCACATGCAAATGTTAATCACCTCCCCTGTAAGCACTGTGGCCAACTGCTTCAAAGCTTCATGTCAGTATTTTATCAACCATTTTGCATGAACTCAATGTGACATGGGCTACGATGCAAAGAGAGTATTCCATGTGAAAATGGATTTATCTGCACTGCACTCTTAAATGTTATTGTAGTAAACCATTTAATAAACCACTTAATGTACTGTTACGACATAATATTGAGTTAAACATATACATAAAGTGTCTTTCCTTCTATTCCTCTTATATCACTAGTATATTGAAGGAAAAAGGGATTGATTTAATCTGAGAAGTAGGGCTGGGAAAAATCTGTTTTTACTTTTAAATAAAACCACAATGGACAGATTACAACATTGTGAAACTGAGTTTTCCCTGACTTCCTTTGATTAATGAAATATTAAAAACGAAGATGAATTTTGTTATTTGGCTGCCATCATTCATTTTTTTCCCCTGCTGCAATATTTCTTCATTTCAGTTCATTCTTTATTAGGAACACAGAGAAAACTGGTTCATGGTTTAAAAGAAAATACTTAATTAAAAGCAGCATCTAGGTGTACAAGATGTTCCTTTTTGAATTCTGTGATTTATCTTTCAATGAAATGATTTTTTGGGACCAGAAATTCTTAGCAATCATAGAGACAGAATACCAAAGCACTGAGAAGAAGTGAGAAATCTGGGAAGAACCTAAAGATAGACTGGTGGCCGCCCAAGAATGTTCTGGATGTGGTGAAGTGCTACGGGCCAAATGAGAGCAGGCACCAAAATGGTTCCAAAAATGTACACCCTGTGATAAGGGTGTCTTTCCAGCTTTGTTTCTCCATTTTTCCTCTTACTTTATGGAAATACAGGGCGCCTGGATTCATGTGTGTTTAAATTGTCCTCGAGTAACCTGTGGTCTGCACCACTTCTCATGAGCTTAAACCTAACTGCTGTATTTTCTCCATGTATTGTGTGGAAATGTTCTAATGCTGTAAAAGTACATGTCTCACCTGGCCACGGTCTCAGATCCTCTTCTACCTTACACGTCTTGAGAGCTGGAGTATCCATTTGTTCTTGCCAGAGAGTGGCTGTAACACAGAACACACAAAACATTCAGGACAGTCAGATATGTTATTTGTACAAAAGTGGAAATTGTATGGCTATCTGATGGACTTTATGTACTTTAGCTGACTAAGCAGAGAGAGATGAGGAGGGTTTTTCACACTTGTTTGAGAGCAACTTTGGAAAAACATGCTTAGTGGCTGCATGGCAGATATTTTGGATCTTTGGTACGAGAGTTATAGGGTAAGCAGGCACCTGTGAAGCTTGGCTATCCAATGTGTCAAAAACAGGGTCAGACATCACTGGCCCAGCGCGTGGGACCCTCTTCACACTGAACAACTGGAACTATGCATTTTGTCTGCCTTCGATACAACCTGTTTGTAAGTGCGTCTGTAATCTCTATTCATATAGCAAAGGTGCGTTACCATTCTGTGTATTATTTATTCCATCCACACACGGTGATGGTAAGCCAGACTTGCAGAAAACATCAATACCATGATGATTGCCCAATGAATGAGCGGGCCAACCCCAAGGGCGGAGCTAAGGGTTAGCACAGTGTAACTAATAAGCAGCTGTTTATGGAGTATTTTAATGAAAGATGTTTGAGCCAAAATGGCGTCTGTCCTCGTGACTTTGATTCCGGCTGCACCTCTGAGACATGTAATGTGCCTGCTGTAATGAAGCGTGTCATTGAGACATGGTGAATGCTGGCCCTTGTACTGGCTTCCTGTTTCTCTTAGGCCCTAGGCGTCGCAATGAGGAGAGAATGTGAGAGAGAGAGGGAGGCAAAGCAACAGAATGTCAGCAGCGAGGAAAAGAGGAGAAGGAGCGTGTGTTAGAGGAGGTACGTGGCCTTGGCTCTGCTATGTAGGACATTTGATATGTCTTTTGAGCCCATACTTATAACAGGAGCAAAAACAAACACATGGCTGAAAAATCGTATGTTTCCCTTTCCCCAGACTCAAAAGACTGTTCATGGCACACATTTTGCATTAATTGCGTAAATGTAAAAGACAAGATAAAACTTTATTCGGCCCTCAGTGAGGAAATCTTGTCTGCTGTGAAAGTAAGCCTCATACATTTGATTATTTCTCGTTGTTTTTACCACAACAAGAAGGTTTTTCAATGAAACAAACAATACTTTTTCTAGTATTTCAGTTATGGATTAATCTGGTGATTATTCTTTTGATTCATTTACTATTCCTATCAAGTTAATCCAAGGAATAATCTGGTTGTCTAAATTGCTGTTGTTTGTTATCTGAAATTGTTATATTACAATTGTAAATAACATAATAATAAATAAATAAAATCTCTACTTATCAAGTGAGGACCCACTACACCCAAAGCAGAGCGCAACTACTTGACTGGGTTCATTTCCTGAGCCTCTCATGTGCCTAATTGGCTGATCATGTCATTCTGGATGTGTGAATTCATGTGAGGCTCTCAGCTGCAGCAGCGTGCCACCTCAAACCTGGGGGGCCGTCAGCATGTTTATGTGGAGTAAACAGTGTGGTCAGTGTGGATGAGGCAGGAGGGGCTCGGCTTTTCAGAGCAGGCCCTTCATCTAACATCAGCATATGTGCCGTCCAAAGACCAAACAAACTTTGAATCATGTATGCGACTTACAATTTTTCAGCAGGGTGACAGGGAAGTTGATAATTCCTTAATTGCTTATTGTTAAATGATATTGTTACATCCAGACATTCAGGGCCATATATATGTACAAGGACTCACACATGTAGAGAGTATTTTAATGATGCCTAGAACATTACACCACTCCAGCCCAAAAAGATAGAAACCAGAATAACAGTTTAGTACTTGATCGCACAGTGAGTGTCAGATTTGCTTGGCTGCTCTAGAATCACACATTCTGAGCTGTGTACACTCTCCCTCCACCCTCTCACAGAATCATTTCACATGTCTAGCAGGCTTACCTGTGGCCACAGAGGAACAATAACAAGGACTGAATAGAGTGTCTGCTCGAGTGCAGGGATCTTGTCACTGCATGCACTTTAATGAGCTCTTAATTACCCTGTCTGTCTGGGGCACATGCAGAGACCTTGCAACACAAGCACAAAACAGTCTGCTCCAGTCTGTGTGTGTACATTTACCAGGCCAGTGTTGCAAGGCTGTCTGGAGATGCGCTCCACAGACAACAAGAACGAGACACTCTTTCATTTTTTCAGAAGACCACAAACTGAAGTAATGCCTTAGGGGGACCCGAATCACCGTATTTATTTTTTAATGTTTATGTATTTTTACTTTGAAATACATACATTACAGCTATTCCTGGACACATAAATACAAATTGGACCCATACTGGTGTGTGCTGATGATATGTAAATAGCTTATGTGTCTCATGCATAGGATTAATTTAAGATTTACTATTCATTGATTTTCTAGAATTTAATTCTAATTATGTCAGAATCTGAATCATTTTTATTGCTGTGTAATAACAGGTCGTCACAGACTAGGAAATGGCTTTGGTTCTCAGTGCAAACAAGTCAAAAGTAGAGAGGTACAGAGTAGAGTAAGGCATAGTAAGGATCAGGATTTCTAAGATATAATAATTATTACAACGTTCTGATTGAATGTGTTGTCTGTCTGTCTGCTGTGTGTTGCACTATTGCAGACTTTAAAGCCTGTCAAGTCTATGACATTCTAATTCCCGTCCTAATCCTATGTGAGGCACAGTGTTTCATCTTTGTCTAAAGTCGAGCTCTTTTATGTTTCTGGTGACATTGAAAGCCAAGACAAAGATTTTTTTTGTAAATAGTAATACTTGGTGGTATGGTTTTAACTTGACACCCTATTTTTGGCTGGTTATCAATTTATTAACTGTAATTATGACTGCCCAAATAAGCAGCAAATCCACAAACAGAAAAGACAGAAAGGGGCTCTAAAAAACAGTGTTCTGTGAAGTCAGCTGTAAAAAATTTCTGAAATAATGACTCAGCTCAACCACAAGGCCAAACACCGGTGTATAGCAGCTATAGAGTTCCAAACAAGCTCTTCTGTACACAGCGACATGCTGATACAAAGGTGATGAGATTCATTAGCTCGCATGGGAACTAAAGAGGGGGCGGGAATGGAGGGCACTGTGTGTTTAGTCTGCATGCTTCCAGACATGGCATCCTGTTAAAGAGGCTATGACATATGACAGAGCCCTCACCCACACAGCTGTCCACAGTGCCCATACACACAGCCCTGAGTCTCACCCCCGCACATTTGATCGCTCTGACAGTGACGTGACTGCCAAGGTAACAGGTGGCTGCTACATTCTTTATGGTGCAGTAGTGCACCGTTCAGGACGACTTTGGAATATAGGCCAACACGGTCTGGCATTGCATACATGCACCTGGTCTGAATGGGCACAAACACTATACTCTGCCTGAAGTCATGAATTATGGCCATTGATAGTGGGTCGACATGACGCTCACCTTGTGGGGGGCCGAGGTGGCTTTGATGGATGGACCGGTTATTGTTCACTGAGCCTATCCTCATAGATCGCTGATAACGCTCAATCTCAGACAGCCTGTCTGAGAATTGCATCTTTTGAGGATCCTCCATTTTGACTCGGTGTCCTGAAAAAAACAGGAAAGTCATTATCTATAAATAAAGGGGCACCATGTCCAAAAACTGATCAAAACTACAAAAAAGGGGAAATGTGTGTATTATCACAAACTGACTTCAGGCAAGACATGTTTTTTCCTTTCTAGCTTTGATGAGTTAAAAGCACATGACCAACACCGTATAAAATGAAATACAAGAAATAAGAGGCTTCAGTCCCAAACTCCTTACACTGTTATAAGACCTTGAGATATATTCGCCAGACACTGTTATTCAGGCTGCACCTGTTGCTGTGTCACAGCAATAGCACTGTAAGCATCTTGTCAAATGCTGTTATTATTTAGGATATTCAAGACAAAATGTATCTAGGTCAGCAGTAGATAGCAAGTGATGTACGCATTTGTCCCATTCATAGAGTAGGCACCCCCCCATATGTATGTAGTCATTACACATGTACACGTGCACACATGCACTCAAACACATCTTATATGTTGGACGGGAGTCCGGATGAGGGCTATGCCTCTAATGGGAAGAAGAGACTTTAATGTAACTATCAATGCACCAAAACTGTGTGCATGTATACATTCTGTGGTTTTCTCCTTGGCATCTCTGTAGACTTGCCTAATGTGAAGTAATGGCTGTATTTGAATATTTTATTACTATATAAAGGGGGCAAGCCAGACGGACCAATATGGATTTTGCCCGTCCTTTCTCCTTACTGACCCATGGGCAATATATCTTTCCTCTGAGGCTGACCCATGGGTAAAGTTTCCTCTCGTTTACCGCTCTGTCCATTTGTTTGTGCCCACCACCTCCCTTACATCCTCTTTGTGAACTGTACATAAAGATCCAGCTACTTATCACCCACCGACTTTCAGCAAGTCTCAAAAAAGTGCATGTTAATGCGTGAATACTTTAATAACACATCAACACAAACAGTAGCAGTTCCTATAGGCTAATGTGATCTGATCAATCATTTGTTACATTCCCCCCTACATCAAAATAATAAAGAATTATTGTTCAAAATTAAAATAGCTTTGATTGTGCTTTAGTAGTAGAATTGACCAGGTTAGTTCCTCAAATGGACTTTGTGCAGCTTTAGTTCAGGGTCCATTTCCGACAGTGTGTCTACTGTGTGCCCCAGTCCAAAGCGGGGCACCTGGGGGAAGCAATCATCCAAATATAGCCTCCAAGTATCCGTATGTAGTTATTAAGAGATTTACACCACCTCAAACACCCGAGGTCAAGGAAATGATACATCGAGCTAAAAAATCACAAGTGCACAGTTTTTCTGAGGGCATTGGTGGTCTGCAATTAACCTCAGTGAAAGTGATCATTGAGCTGGCTACAAACTTGAGTATTTTTTTAAGCTTGGAAGTGACTCCACATAGTCTGCAGCCGTATGTAACATAAACAGTTTTACTAAACACATGTGCTAATTAGATAATTTTAATTATATTTGTTTTGTTCTGTGCTATTAAACCTTGTGTTAATATTGCTTTTGGCCATCTTACCCGACAGCTACAGTTTCATGTTTGACCACCAGACTTTGACTTCTGCTGTATGGATGAGGGGCCAGAAGGGTGCTGGCACTCAACACTAGCCCTTATTTCAGAGGGGTTTCTGTGGTCAGATTAATTTTTAATGGGTGAGGGTGCACTTAGAAGAGAATGCCCTGTTTTTCTCTCTATGATATCATAACCACAAGATAGAGTTGGGAGATGAGGCCAATATGCACACGAGTTCTAAACACTTGTGTTCAATGTGTAGAACGGACACTAACGGTTGTTGATTTACCAGCCCCCTCTAGAGCAGTGGTTACATCATTTCAAAGCATTATGGTACTCTACAAAATATATAAAATACTTAAAATATCTGGTATTAACAATTCTCTCTGAGGCTCATTGATTAAAAAAATTGAGACGTAGGGTTGAAAGATATATCGTTATTTTATCATTATTGAGATATGAACATAGTTATATAGAAAAAGTGTCCGCCGTGCATGTATAGTTCTGGCCTTTAAATTGGCCACTGTGGCCAGCCAACCACAGACCTTATAACAGGCAAAAGAGGGCGGGGTTTTGCTAAAAATGCTTGGTTTTCACCAAACTTGTAGTCGAGATATCTGGCATGAATATTGAGAAATTGTTCAGCACTATATACAACATACAATACAGCATTCAATTAATTACATAAATACATTTTTGATAATGGTTGCACAGTGATTGGTGTGACTGTAAATGATTGTGAAGTGTGAAATTGTAAAGCTGCCAAGGTTGTGAGTTGCCTCCCCTGCACAAAGCCCATATCAGCTCCAGCCACAGTCTCTGTTTGTAGAGTGAGGTGACAGCCAGGCCTTAAACACTGACAGCTGAATGAGCATAGTCTCTTTCCTGGTTTTGGCTCGGTTTCTCTCAGTCTGCCTGCTTCAGTGTCTATGAAAGAAAGAAACATATGTTCGTGTCCGAAGGGAGACACATTAAACACAAGCTCTCTTTAGTAAAGCGCTGAGAGCTTTTTCAGGAGCAAACTGAAACTCTATCTGGACGGCAAAGGGCAATACGTGCTTTGGCCCTCAACCAAGTCTGCACAGAATATTTTTGAAGTGTAAATATTTGTATTCAATGTATAAATGGACTTGATAGGTCCCTGATAACAGACCTGAATTGATGCATAAAGTGTAAGGTTTGCAAATGCATAGAAAATGGAAAAATCTGCGGTTTATATTCTTATTTTTTTCCCAATAAATGTGATGCAGCTGACAGTTGAACACATTCTACTGCTCTGCCGACTGCAACAATAAGACTTCCCTTACCCTCAACTGACAAGACGGACGTTTCAACATCTGTTGAGCTATATCTACACCTGTCTTCCACTTCCTGCTCTTGAGCAGACCTTGAGCTCCTGTCTCCAACTTTGAGTCTGAGAATCTCGTTTGTTTAAGTTTTGTTTAACTTTCAGATTGAAAAGACACAATTGGGTAGCTCTATACTGTTAGATTAGGTCATAACCACACACTGCTGCATCTATCACCGTGAAACAGGAAAAATAATGTTCTTTGTGTGAGGCTAACTTACAGGGAAGTGGCATCTACCCTTTGTTGAAGACTGTGGCTGCCATGTGTGGGTCTAAATGACAACCACTGCTTTACACTCTAAAGCAGTTTTGTACATGTAAAGTAGATATTTTTGTTAACAACATGGGCTTTATGGTTGTCCTAAGGCCTACAAACAAACTTGTCATTGCGGAAATTGCTACATGCAACTGTTTGAGCAGCCTTTCTTCTCTGATAAGAGTATAGAGAGAAGCAGCAGCATGTGAATGTGACACAGCAAGGGTACTTCTTCTCTGCTACATGAATGCTGTTTTAAAGGCCAAAAAAGACATTCTTAAACAGAAGGCTTGTTGGAGAATGGCAATCGTCTTTGATTTATGATTGTGTACGCTCTTCTCAACAAGACCTGCAATACTTTCAACCCCAGAGTTAAGGAGATATTACTTTCTTTTGAAAAATAACGTTGTCTAAAAAAGCTTCAATAATTTTATATACCTATTGTGTTTTTTGAAAAGCTCGATTTTGTTCTATAATATGATTCTCTGTTACTACCAGAAGGCAGTTGCCTCATACGTTTTTTGTGGGAAAGGAAACACGCTGCTGACACGCCGTCAAACAATGCTGCTTCACACTTCAGTGTGTGTTTTGCCACAATAATGAGCGACAACCATGTATCGTTTCCATAACACACCCTAGATTGGTACAATTGAAAGTGGCTTTTGTAAAATGTGTGACTTGAGTGAATAGCCCTTAGTTTGTTCGCTGGATCTCATGATGTCAATGCAAAGTTCCTCTTCAGGGCATTCTTGGCACATTTTTGAAAACCTGCTTCAAGTTTGTGCTTACAATTATAACATTACCCTGTTTCTATTATTTTGTGGCTGTTTTTTGGCTATTTTAAACTAAATAAATAAATCACAGGGCAGTGCAGTCCATAATTTCGAGCAACCAGCAGGTGCCTTCTCTCTACAGCCTCACACGTCATCTTCAGAGCCAGCATGTCAACAGAGAAATGTGTTTATTGTCCTAAAGCAAATAGTCGTAGACACTGGGGACATTTCTTAAAAGATTTCATAAATTTTATTCAATTATAGCTGAAAGGTTGAAATGGCAGAATTCTGTATGGGTCAGTATAAATATGACTTATATACATAGAGTGGCATTTTTCTCCTCCCCTCAGGCATGTAAACAGGAACCACACTCGGCCTCTGAGTTTGGAGAGTAGTTATGGTCAGAAAGAGGGGAAGGCAAAGCATCAACTCAACTGCGTTACTCCCTTTACTCCCAAATCCCTTCTTTTTTTTGTCTGCAAATCATATACTGGGACATTTCTGGATGGATCTTAACATTTGATTAGTGCTTTTTATAATCTTATTGAAATTCATAACATATGTGCTGGCGTTGCACACAGACGATAATTGTGTGACGCAGTGTATCTCTGATGCAGTTCTTTCTCTGAACAGTGACAATTTCTCCTCTTCAGCACTCTCACTGTTACTGCCCCATGATCTTGTGTATGTGGATTTTAAAGCACGTATTGATAATTGAGACTGAGCAAACTTGGGTTTTTTGAGGTTGAGATGTGAGTTGACACGGTATAATTTCACAGGATTAGAGAATTTTATAATGACATTGAAACTTAATAATACATGGTTTGTGTGGATTTCCTTCAGTCCAATGATTTGATTAAGGTTTTCAGTTTTTCAACGTATCTTGGTACTAGTGAAGGTTTGCTGTAGCATATTTAAGACCAAACCTATTCTGCATTCCTGGTGCATTCCTAAGCATTTATCAATTGGCCAATATTTGCGAGTCTAATCACTGGGGTCTGAAGTGACCCCAGGCACGAGCAACCACAGTCTACAACAGTTACACTGTTATTTTATTTCAAAATTATAAAATCTCCCCCTATCAGACACGATCTGTCTGTGGGTTGTGTTGAGGCTTAAGCCAAATCATTAATTAAATGATCATAAGTTAGATTGTCCAGACAAGCCATTAATCTGGCTAAAAGCGTGAAATACTGTGAATCTTGTTAGTGCAATACGCAGACAGGAAAGCACCTAGCATCAGACATGCCACTGGTTTTCCCCACCCCTGGCACTAGTACACCTGTAGGACTTTCTTTCAAAGACTCCCATCTCCTTTTTCACACATCAAAGTTACCTTTGAGGCAGCCATTTATGCTGAGGGTAAGTCTTTCATGTGATTTGTAGATCATGGGCGTGTCTCATAGAGCCTACTTAAAAAGATGGATCCACCTGGCAGGTGCATGAGCACACGCAAATCTGTATGCAGCAACATCATGCTCTTTTTGTTTTGAGAGACGGCAATATCAGAAAAAAATAAAACAGCAAATGTCATTGTTTGTCTATTTGCATACTTTGTACAGTCTGTGTGTCAAATGCAAATAGAATCAACCCGTCATCTCCCACATGTCCCGATGCTATAGACTTCCTCCGTTGGCCATTCTCATATGGCAAACACACCCGGGTCAATAAAGAGAAGCTACAAAACATACAGCATTTTGTTTGGTTTTGGTGGATGTACAAGGACAAACGTTGGACAATAATGTTGTATTATTTGGAACTTATAAGAAAACCTTAACTATCAATTTTGGATAAATTATTATTTTAAACCTTGTTCTAGAACAGCACAGACACAGTTTAAGTCAGCAAACATTATTAGGTTACTAATGTTCCTTTTTTAGTCCCTTGATAATAAAAATGTATAATGAACACTATTTACAATCAAAGTAACTCAAGTACTTAATAAAGTGCACATTACTAATACATCTTTTTAAGCATTAAGGTTTATTATTGTAAACAAAACTTAGACCAATGCCATTTGAACATTGAGATACATTGAGTGTGTGTGATATATAAATATATACAGACACGCACACACGTATGCACACATGCACACACACACACACATATGCGCACATGCACACACACACACACACACACACACACACACATGTATGCGCACATGCACACACTCACACAATGTAACTTAATGTTTGAATGGCAATTTTAAAGCAACCCTGCATCTCATACAGTGATAAAATGATTTTTGTTTACATACGCGTACACATGAGTTCGAATAGTCTGCATTATGGTAAAATGTATTTTACAAAGCCGTGTGCTTTAGTATATTGCTGTAGGCAGGATTTGCTGAAGTCCTGTCCATCAGGTTCTGCTAACTGAATCAGTAAACATTAATAAATCTCCTCCCCTCTGTGCCGTCTCTACACAAAAGCAACCATGCAAATGCCGTTTACACAATAGTGAGTGTCTCCTCACAGGCCGATGCAGTGGCTGGATTAGAATAATAATACATATAAATAAAGAATAACTATATTATTATTAACAGTAATATTAAATAATAGAGCAACATATCTATAAGATTCATATTATGTACAACTGATTTGTAGGCAAGGCAAGGCAAGGCAAGTTTATTTATATAGCACAATTCATACACAAGGCAATTCAAAGTGCTGAACAAAACAAGAAAGCATTAAAATCATAAATAATCACAGAACATTAAAAAGAAAGATACAAATATAAAATCCCTCAGTTGTATGCACAGCTAAACAGAACTGTCTTTAACCTGGTTTTAAACATTGTCAGAGAGGAGGCCTGTCTCACATCTCCAGGAAGACTGTTCCAGATTTTAGTATATGTGGGCAATGGGATTCCGGGATGACCCTTCAAACAAACACATTTTACCTTTGGAGCAATTAAGCTTGTGCTGGTAACCCTAACTAAACAATGTTACAATTGTTGATAGAGTCAATTATGTTTTTTTTCTGGCATAAACATGAAATTATAGTCATTGTTTAATAGAGGTAAACTATTAACAACTCTCCAACTAGCGTACATTTCTAAACCTCTCAGAGCTATAATTATGTGAAATAGTGCCATTTAGAATTTAGAATGGTATGACCCATCTAACCCTATTGATAAGACTGAAAGGAGGCCAATAAGTGCTATAAACATAACTTAAAAGTACAATAATGAGAACAGTGATTTTAGGATTCTTCCATAAATCTGCTTTCCCCTGTCCATCACTGTCCCATTAGAGACAGCCACCATTGTCCTTCAGACCTGAGTGACTCCACCCTGTCCTGAAAACCCTCAACTCAGTCTACGATTCAGCAGCTGACACCTTAAACCTATATTTTGGATTGTCTAAGAAAAGATATTGTCTGAGATTCCTATAGAGGTATTTCTGACCCAAGCTGTAAATCTGGTTTTTTATAAAATTCTCATTTGAACAAGCTACATTTTCAGACATCAAATCACATCCTTTTGCTGAACAGATTTTCTCTGGACACAACAGCAAGGGTTTGCTCAGTTACACCATCATTATTTTGCCTGTGATAAATCAAGGAGCCACTTTCGTGGTCACTCAGGTAGAAGTGAAGCTCTGGAGAAAAGCATGAGGTGTTGTGAGGGTGAGGAGGCCCAGACACCTGCGGCTTGGGAGTTCACTCAGCAGCTCTTAGTGGTCTACTCTAATATACTAAAGCAGTTTCCTCTTACTGGCCCTATCCCACCATAGGCACACACTGAACACTGCAGACACTGAGGCTTACCATAACCACTGCCCAACTTAACCAATCCCTGATTCTGATTGCAACCCCAAAATCCAAATCACATCTATATGCCGATGAACAGATGTAAGGAATCATAAAGACAAATAAATTATCCAACCTTTTCTGTGTATTTTGATTACCCACAATGCTCCTAAGGTTTGCACATATTGTTATATGTGTTATTTGTGTAGTCGGTGGCTGCAAACAAAGCACTAACCTCTCAAACAGTTTGTACCCTAAAGTCGTAATGAACAATAGCTGTATTTGAGAGCTACAATGGCACATGCTTTGTTGCATATATAGTATTTGTTCAAATGATTTATAGGAAAAAACAAAAACTTATTCAGAGAGAGTGCTAGAGCAATATTTGCCATACCAGAGTGGACTTGATAAACTTAAGTTATATTCTATTTCATACAATTACTTAAAATAAGTACAGTAGAAACTATAGAAGTTTACATATATACAAACAAATTGTCACCTGTTTTAGATTAAGTTATTTTTTTAACCAAAATCATTTATGTTGGCTCATTATAATATGGAAGGTAGTTCCATATTATAAATATAAATATATATATATATATATATATAAAGATATCCTATTGCTTTCTACAAAGTTAAACGATGAATCTCAGAAAGTGGGAGAAAATGAATCACATATTTATGTACAGTGTGTAAACATTGTATTTTGTACTCACTGCGCGGCTCACGAGGTCCGTCCACGGTGACCTTAATGGCGCGGTGGTACGTGGCGACTTGCGGTGGCCCAGTAAACACAGTGATGGTCAGGGTAAAGCTCTTTCCTGCAGAGCAAGTGTCCGTCATTTCAACAGCATGTAACTAAAACTCGATGGCGCATGCAGAGGCCAGAAGGACAAAAAGCCACAGTTAATTGAAGAGTGCAGTAATTAAATAATTTGCGGTAGGAATCACACCGTTTTTAGTTTAATGTCACGCACAGATTTACTGTGGGCTTGCAGCACATGAAGTTTCTTCTCATGATCATTTAATAAAGACGCACATTGTTTGATTGTAATAGGCCTTTTTCTTCAAATTGCCATAATTGGCCTGTTTACGCCGGCTTTTAAGCCTGTTATAGCAGCATACAATTAAATTCACAAGATGTTTCTGGGGGTCGATGCACGAGACATTTCCGGGAGGGTAATTATTTTTATTTCGTGGATTAAGAAAATGACCATTGAAAATGCTAGTATGACGCAGGCCAAGTGTCCCGCGTGATACCTGCAGCGTTATGATGAGAAGCTGAGGCCTTTGGCGTCGGTATCAACCAAACGCAGAAATGGCGCCTACGCATTTGATTTGGGCTATCAATACTATTAATATTTGTTTGAGCGTTTTAGTTATTTATATTAAACATCTTGGGCGCGGAATTATTATGTTATAGGCTATGTAACACAAGTGTTTTTAATCCTTAAAATTAAAACTATACTCTGTTGTTCTGCACTCTTTGCAAAATACATGATGATATTATAATAGGCTGTTGCGAGATCACTCACCTCTGCCGCTCCTGCCTACAAATCTTAGATCATTGAAGCGGGCCACTTGGTTCTTCATCACGGCGGAGGCGTTCCTCAGCTCGGCAGAGTAGTTTTCATCGTTTCCAGCCATCACGGTGACCAGCGTCCCATCGGGCACGTCCCCGAGAGCCACCACCTGCGGGACATAACGGCCCGGTGATTGTGTGGCAAAGAACACATGCACCTGATGCGAGTCAAAGCCAATCTATTTATGAAAATAAATAGAATATAAATAGAATGATCTGAATATACATATATAATGTATGCTCTGAATGTACACTGTTTTGATACACTTTAGGCTTGTGCATGAACGTGAGAGTGTAGAACATGTTATAGTTTTGGGCAATAGGGTTGTCATAATGTCTTTACATTCTATTTTATTAAAAGAATATTTTTTTTATTATTCATTTAGGCTACAGAATGATGACATTTTATTGAAATATAGGCCTAAATACCAAAATAGTGCAGGTATTTTTTTCTATGAAATGCTTTTTAAACATTTAAAACAAAGTCTCGAATCAAACTCAAACTGTGCATCCTATAATTTATGATTCATCAAAAACGATTGTTTTTGTTCTTACCTTGAACGCCACGGGGAGAGTTTTGTTGCACCTCCAGTGAGACGGTAGGACTGAGCAGAGGAAGTTGGGGCTGTCAGTCCGCACCAGTTCCCCGGCGTGGTCTGCGAGGACGTCCACCACATTTCTCGTGTCTTGTCTCGACCTCAGTGATCCTGGGGCGGCCATGGTCCCGTTTGCGTCTCCAATCTTACTGCAGGGAAAGGACGTGGAGGGCGGCGTGAACCGTCTGGTGGTGGGCGGCTCTACGGGAATATGCATCACAACAGCGGGGGTCAGGGCCACCTAACTGGGCTTCTGTCACAAGTTTGTGTTGGTCTGAAATGTCTCCAGGGACCGTCTCAGGAGTCCACACGAGCGATTAAGGAAAATGGACTCTCACTGCCTCAACTGTAAGTGTGCAGTCCGTGCGCACTGGATCACAGACACTCAGCCATAAACTGTCCGGAGTGCATCGAAGCAGTTGCAAGTCAAAAACAAATAAATGTAGGCTTCGACAGTCACTTGACTGTATGATGAGAAGTAGTCAGACTATTCCAGCGATTCAAAAACGTGTCGCTCCAGGTATCTTATACTTTTTGCAAACTTTGTCTCGCGTGTCCGCTTATGCTGTCAGCTCGAGCTCTGCGCTTGCTGAAGTTATCCAGCGCGTGGACTCAGAGAAGTCTACAGCTCTCTGAGAGAGTGCAGTGGTATTATTTTACCCGAGTCATTTTAGTGTTTAGTGGCTGGGAGTGCAGCGATCATTTGAACCAATGAAAGAGCTGGGCTGGGCTTCTACTGGACCAATCACATCCACGCTCTCTCCTCCCTCAACCCTTCTGTGGACCTGCATATTGATCTGAAATCTTCTTTCCTACAAACAGCATTAAAACACGGACCGTAGGCCTATGGCCGTAATTCAGCCTCTTTTTTTCTTATTTGTTTCAAGCAGCCTAATGATTCTCATCTCTCAATGCAATTATCATATGCCTAATATAGTTATTTATACTATTTTTTTAACGAAATCGTGATGTGGACAGACGGCTATTGACTTAAATCTTTAGCGCAGATGTGAACCTTTAGTTTCACATTTATTAAACTTCTGCTTCACTTTCTCCGAACACAAAATAATAATTAAATATAAATTATACAACATAAAAATAAATGATGACTTTATTTGCAGATGTGTATCATTCTAATCGCATGCCTGAATTAAAAGCAGACACTGCTCCCGCCACATCAGACGCTGCTCTTGCTCCGAGCTCTGCTCATCAGCGCAGTGCGCTCTGCAGTGCGCTCCTTTCTGACACTAGTTGGCGCGTTTGCCTTTAATCTGATTCAGACATTTCATAACGGCACAAATAAAATCTCTACTTTTTTAGTTGACTAAAAAGTGCTGTACTGTAAACTGAATTTAGCTTTGCTAAACCCATAGGCCTACATTTGTACTGTAGTCTACATTTGTAGGCCTATAACCTAAAGAGGTGAAATCTTTTCGAAATATCTAATTACTATAGGCTATAATTTGGTGCAATGAATTTCCATTAACCTGTTGGCTAATACATTATTGTTGCACATCATATTTGCAGTTATAGCCATGATGGTGAAATATTTGTCCTTTTTTACATTAAATTTCATGCACACATCATGAATTGTGATATTATATATTATTATGTTAATCATAATAATGTTATTATGAAAATCCTAATTTACATCAGAACATTGTATATCATTATGGCCTACCTTACATTAATTTATTCTGCGGTTATATGATAAGGATGACATCAAATCAGGCTTCAAAGGTGCAACATGACTATTTTTCTTCTGCAATTGCCTCATGGTAGGAAGATAAATGACACAGATTTTAATTACTATATTTGAGTTTGAAATTTCCACAAATATTTGTACTTAATAAATTATTGTTATTATTATTTTTTCTTATTAGCTAACTTGAGAGTATAAGAAGTTTGAATAATTACTCCTAAAATTCATATGGATTGATTTGTGTGGCAGTGAATTATTTTGGCTGAGTCTCAGAGACCCCTCCACCTGATCATCTATCTCAGCTTCTATTTTAAGTAAAGCTGGACCAGGACAATGACAATGCTGCTGATATTTTAGTCGTGCTTCTCCCTAGTTCATTATTAATATGTGACCACATGCTCCGGCTTTCCCTGCTCAGCCTTAATGTGTGCTCCGGGCGCCTGTCACATTTAGACCTCTGCATTTCAACATGCACTTTCTACAGTTTCAGCCGCACAAGCATTGAGGACAAGGCTCGCTGTGCCCCTGAACGATTTTTAATGATCTGGCTAGGTTGAGTCTGAAATCAAGACTGAACTCAGGCAAGATATGTGAAACCTCGGGCCCACCTCTAATAGGCCTCAGCATACAATTTTGAAACAGTCAGGATCAAAAGTAATTGAAACCTTTTTGATATGAATATTAACACAGTTTGTGGTCTCTTACAGTAAAGCATGATTGATACATAGTTTTCCTGTTGGCAAACATCAGAAATGAGGACACTTGGAAAACGTGTTGAAAATGTTTCAGATGTGATAATTTTATATAATAAATCGCGACACACTATTAGTCTTGTTTCATTTCAAATGGTAGCTTGATATGATTAATGAGAGTAACATAGAGGAGAAATGGTTTAGGCCTATAGGGTTTGTAAACGTACACCTTGCTTAGTGCCACCCACACGACATTAGTGCCACTTTAAAGTCACTTTGAAGATGGGAACAACCTCAGATACCCAGAGAGGCTGGTAAGTTTTCACTTTTGAGAGAATGATCTATTAGTCCATTGAAATTCCCGGTCTATTTTCAGATATGCACATAAGCTTTTGGATGGGTAACTATTCATTTGGATTCAAGGTTTGTTGGCAATTACAAATAGTTTGAGGTTTAGTGATGACATAAGACAAAAATTTCTATCTTTAGAGAAAACTGTGGCGGTCACACATTTCTGTACATTCACAAATTATAGGGCAAGATCGGCCCTTAACCCACCAAATGCATTCCTTCCGAAAAGTGTCTGCTCAAATTCGGGGGATTTTGCTCAGTGGAAATTTGAGTGTTGTGAATGAACAACTTTTATGAAACAGAGTTTTATTCCTTCAGGATTAAATTAGCTCTACTTTGGGGCTTTGGGAATTTTTTTGTATGAATGATGAATTTTGCGGTGGATGGGGAAAGCCAGGGTTGTTTACTCTTCCCTCCCTTTTTTGAAACACAGCTCTCTATGAAATAGACTTTTTCTGCTTGATATGACAAGTGTCTGTGATTAGAGGTCCAAGCATGATGTAAGTCATCAAAGTCATTTGTGCCAGTGTCCTCAAAGCCAACTCATATTGTAGCGTCAGAGTGTTTATATACACAAGTATATGAAGAAACTTTTAAACAACAGTGAGTGGCTTCAGACTGTTTGGGTTTCGGGCTGGTGCTGCTCTGATGCCTGATTCCTTCTCAAACTTTGATTATATAACATGTCAGCACATCACAATTGGTGGTCATTTTTTGTCCATTTTGATGTTCAGACGAGAAAATCAGAAACACATTGAACTGTTTGGATTGTACAAATTTATGTTATTTTTTTTTCTTCACCAAGCTCGTCTTTGTTAGTTTTAATTATTGCTGACGTCTGTGTGTGTTTTTAAACTGAGTTTTGGGTCATATAATCCATGAAAACCCAGTATTATTTTTTATTTTCATAGTTTCTATACTTTGGCATTGTTCATATCCAAACCGAGCTGCTAATTACCATGTGTGTGGGATGTATGGACGCTAAAGTCAAGACAATGAGCACATTCATCTCATACATCTTTAATTCTCTGCCTACGTTTTATAAAAGGGCCGTAGTGGAGCCAGGGGCTTACTAAAGCGCTCCGAATCAATTTTGCCACGTAATGGCTGTTGGGGGATGACTCCAATGTTGTTTAGGCTGTGTTTTTATTTGCTGAATGTAAATGGATGTCTTAATGATTTCTAAACATGTCAAGCATGTGAGTTGCATGAGGACGTTAATTATAATAATTCGTCCTACTTATGTAGCTCTTTTCATTTATTTAGTTCCATTTATTGTTTATTTGGTTGGGACAGTACATGTTAATGAACACATCACTCCGGATTGTAGCCATGGGCTAATTTGCATCTGTTGTCCCACATTGGCACTCACCAACACACACTCATTCACCCTGAACCACTGCACATGTTTTTAGTGGTATACCGGAGTACCCGGAGGAAACCTACGCAGACAGAGAACATGCAAACTCCACTCAGAAAGGCCCTGTTCCGACCTGGATTTGAACTCATAACATTCTTGCTGAGAAGCGAGAGTGCTATCCACTCAACCACCGTGCTGCCCATACATTAAATTTTAGGATTACATCCAAAAACGCAATCACATAGCATTTTTCACTCACTTTACTGATAAACTATTGCTGTAGCCACAGCTGCCCTGGAGCAGACTGACGGAAGCAAAGAAACAAGTATATGCCATCCTCCCCTCTGACCACCACCAATGAGCATTCCTCATCCTTCTCATAGAGCTGTACCTATTATGTCTTAAGGAACATCAGGCTTCCTGCTTGACTTTATGAACTTTGTCAGCTCTCTCTCTATCCTTTCTTTGGCACATCCATTTTTTCACCACACCCAAATCAGCAGGGAGCGAACTGCCATCAAACCTCAGTGTGTCGTGGCTCCTCCCTCACATCATTCGTCGGGTACACTCACCCAATGATGACAGTCAGCAGTGTGTGATGTGGTGCTGGGGCCTGTTTATTCTTTGGAACCCACTAAAAGTAGCATAGCTGGCTCACCAAAAGGCCTCACTACTATTAAAGCAGCCCTTTGGTTGAGGTTTGATTTTGGGTATTGGGCCCTGTCTTTGTTTTTATTGAGATATATTGTGTAGTGTGAGTTGAACAAAGTATAAATAATGTGCTACATATTGATTACTGGAAAAGAAGTGAATGAGGCACGTTTTTCATTATGTTGGTAGACAAAGGGCATGCACTGAGCCTCTGTCATTTCACTTCAACAAAACATTGCACTTCTCAAGCATCTTTATTCACTCTGAAACTTAGTATAACCTTTAAATCAGTCCTTTAAATACTTCAATTCTAATTTTTTCCACTTGAGGTTTATGGTGTGAGCTATTATCATTTCTCATATCTTTGTCTCTATTTATATGATGACACATACACAAAATACATCCATAGCGTCACACAGATTCTCTTTCTGGCCAAAGCTTCTGA